AAGTCACTCTCATACCCACAGGAGTATTTGACCTTCTGATATATCCCATCACTTAGAAACCCCTGGTTTTATGGGAAGGTAAAGTGGCTAATTGAAAACTCAGTTTGAGAGCACCTTGTGAAGTTGAATGTGAACTGGTATATGCTCTAATCTTGTGACCAATATATGGTGCTATTTCTTCCGTAGACAGCACTCACCAGTCTAGGATATAAGAAGTGGAAATGGGAGGGGCAATTCTTGCTGTGAAACATGATGAGCAACTCATGAAATGGCTTGTTTCCAATACACTTGATTAGAACAAAAATGGTTTCAAAAAATTGGAAATTGAGACCGCCTCCTGACTCTTTGGAGCTCTTTATGCCATTTAAGCAACACGGAGAAAATGAGATCCTGTGTTGTCTAGGGCAATTGGTTCTGACTCTCCAGGGGAAGCAGAGCTGCTATATACACAACAGGGTCAGGTAGAAGTCTGCTGAGTGTCCCCTGGGATGCCTCTTAGAACTCCTACTTTCCGTGATAAAAATTAATGTAAAATTATGTTCAACTAATATGGTAAAGATTAAAAAGACTTAAACTCCTCAAGAGTGAAGAGCTGAGGTGCTACCTGGAAAGAAAGCAAATGTTGAGTTAATAATGAGAAAAGTTATAAATATTAACTACAGCTACATGACTAGTCGCAGTTTTAAGGACTGTTGTAGATATCCATATTTTCTTTCTTGTTTTGTTATGCATGTTTTTGTACATGTAAATTAAGCGCTTTCCTTTTACTCTTTCCCTTTTGTTCACTATTTTATATAAGGTCGGTTGGTCATGGTTTCTTATAACTTATATTTTAGGTTATATTATTCTAGGACTATGACTGAGAAAAAGAGTATATGTCATTGAGGAATGGATACAAGAACAAGCTTTTGGTCTTCCCTTTGGGGAGATGACTAAAAGTCTTAATTTTGTCAACAGAGAATCTTTCTGAAGAGTATTTTCAAGAACTTATTCCCCATGCTCAGAAAAGGACTAGACTTCTTTCTTAGTGTCTAAAACTACTTTTTTGTCCTAGCAGGTAACAATTGGGTAGCAGGCTAGACTATGAGCTCTGCAGTCAGATGCCATAGAATGTGAATCCTGACTTGGGTTGTACAGGCCATGAGACCTGGCCACCTACTGGAGCCTCTGTGCCTTGGTTTTGTGGGCTATAAAATAAAGATAGTAAAAGCCATCTTTGGGGGGTTGTTCTGAGAATTAGATCAAATGAGATGATGGTGTAGACCTCAGCAAAGCACAGGGCCTGCTCTATGGGGCTCCTTGGGGTCAGGAAGAGCAAATGTAAAGGAACTCCATGGAACTCACTTTCCCACCAGGGAGTGAAGCGCTGCGTCATGGTCCAGCCTGAGCGGATCCCAGCCGAGATGGTCCTCACCCTTCCATAGTAAGGTTCCTGTATATCTGATGTTTCATTGGTAAGGTCACAAAAGGATTCGAGAATACCCCAACAGTCCTCTTTATTTTTCCATTGTCTCTGTCCATACCTATAGAAGGAAAAGACAAAAATCTGAGGGTTTTTTTTTCTTCCCATTGAAGGAGTCATCCATTTTTTTCAGTCTATGAATATTTTAAATGGGTTGAGATTTGTCCTCCAACATCAGCACCCCTGTGAAAGCTTATGGCTACTCTCATCAAGTATCTTTTACAAATATTTTATTCTTATTAATCCAAGTGTTATCTTGCTGAAAGAAAAACTCCACACAGACACCTTCTGTATCCATAGCAAAGGGGTTTCAGGGTTTTTAATACTTAGTGAAGTTATTCTTCTAGTATATGAACCAACTTCCACTTTTGAGTACTAGCGTCCCACATCCTTAATGCTTCTGAGGTTTCAACCCTGTGGTTTTCTTCACTTCTCATCAGCCTGCTGTTGAGTAACGTGGCTGATTCTGAGAAGTCGCTACCACTTTTTATCTCAGGTGTTGCTTACCCAACACATCTGGTCACTATTTTTGTTGAAAATGGGGCAGGGGTTAATAGTGAGGAAATCCTGTAATTAGCAACTAGGTGTGAAGGAGGGGAGCCCATGATAGAAAGGTCTGAGTCAAAGAAACAGGTTGACTCAGCCCAGGACTATGGGACGATGTAACAGCAACAGGGAAGATTAAAGCTTCCCTTCCTTTCCCGTCACAAATCAGAAAAGACACAGGAAGACGATGGTGGAAACAGAGTGGAAATTAGAAGCTGGGGTGAAAGTCTTCCCAAAATGTTTGTGGAAAGACTTGAAATCTAGCTTTCTGGCCATATAATGAGGAATACTTCTGGCCTCTATACTCTGTAAACTATATAATGGCAACAGTGGCATTTTATCAAAGGACACCATTAGAGCAAAACCAGTGACATAAATTGAATACAGTTTGATGTCTTTCAATTGTTATTTATTGTTGAGACATTGTCTTCGCTAGCTACATTTAGTTGTTGTGGTTGGCTTCTCTTCTAATGTGGCAGCTCATTTCTTGTCTTATCCCAAATGGCATGTATATTAACAGTAGACCCACATGGATGGAATAGTACCATGTGCTTTCACCAAGTGAAAGATCTCAAAAAATATAAATCTGCATTGTGCTCTTGAAAATATGATATAGAGAGGAATGGATCCAGGCATTCTGAGTCTCATACAAGTTTGGGAGTATTCTTTAAGAAAAAAAAAAACATGGGGCGCCTGGGTGGCGTAGTCGGTTAAGCGTCCGACTTCAGCCAGGTCACGATCTCGCGGTCCGTGAGTTCGAGCCCCGCGTCGGGCTCTGGGCTGATGGCTCGGAGCCTGGAGCCTGTTTCCGATTCTGTGTCTCCCTCTCTCTCTGCCCCTCCCCCGTTCATGCTCTGTCTCTCTCTGTCCCAAAAATAAATAAAAAACGTTGAAAAAAAAATTAAAAAAAAAAAGAAAGAAAAAAACATTAAAAATATAAAATTCTCCCATGGGATCTTAAAGTTTAATCTTCATTAGTTTCATGGTAAAACAACTTCTAATCCAATTTTAACATTGGACCATAAACAGGCCCTATTTATACCGCCTAAGGGGGAAGTATAAAAAAAATCCCTATATTCTATATGCTGGAGTATCTCCAACTATGCACAAATCTGTTTTTAGAATGGAACAGTTTTTATTGGAAAGATGCATAAATTTTACAGCTGCTACACAAAATATGTTGAGAAAAGCAGCAGTATTTAGAGACTGAGAAACTTCTGGAAATAGTTCTTATGAGGTTAGCAAGAGGTTAATTAATGGGAAGATCTGACCTCAAGCCTACCCCCATGCTCGAGAGACACGGAATAAAAATTATGGAATAAAAAGTGTGATGTTGGTCCACAGCTACATCTGATGTTCTGAATTTCTAAGAAAAAACTCATGGGAGCGAAAGTGCAATATCTCCTGTCTCAGTATCTCTCATCCAGCATCTTAAACTGTGAAAGAGAAGGAGGAGGCTCGGAAAACCCCAAGAAGTGTATGAGTGGGAAAACCCGCCATTTGCAAATCAGGAGCTTGTGTGTCCAAGGCCTGGATCCAGGGAAGGAATTGATTGCATCTGATGTTTTTTTTGTTTTAATTTTTTTTAAACTTTATTTATTTTTGAGAGAGAGAGAGA